TGACACTGAATGTCAAACAGCTGTCCCTGCCCCAACTGGTAACTCATTCTAACAAATATTGAACCGCCAGACACCTGAGCCTTCAATCGTTGCAGGAAAACACTAAGTACAGAATGCATTTCACAAGAGTTTGGCTTAAAAAGAAAGGGACGGTTAGAAGAACTTTAACCAGCCCTTGCTTAAAGACCAGCATTTGTTTGGCTTCGCCTCAAAGGTTTTGTAAACTCACCTTCTGACTAGATGTTCAGTCACTGTGCCAAAACTTGAGCCTGTCAGAGGTCAAACAGAGGAACAGCTTAACCTCAACTTTTTTAAACCGGAGTCAGAATTGTGCGAGAAAACAATATAAATACAGCTTTGGATTCTTCAAAATAGGTTTCCTGAAACATGCCACTAACTTCCTGTAAGGTTGCCTGCAAGAGCTGGACCTTTTTAGTGAAGGGAAGAAAAGAGACGTGTGTGGGTATGTGTGCGCTCCTAGTTTTTTGATCAGAAATGTAAGAAGTTGCTAAAACTGATATTATAGTTGTCAGTGGAAGTAAAGAAACAAACCTGTGGAAGATCTTTCTGAAGGAGTGGCTATTTAGGAGAAAACATCACTTCGTTATCTTAGCTCTATCCAAGTATCTGTGTTTCCTCCTTTGATATCCTTAGCTTGACAACAACTTCCTTGCTTCTGATGCCGAGCTTGGGCAATAGCGAAGTCTTTGTTAACAGTTTCCCCTTCTCCCCCAATTCCCCCACCAACATCGTTTTTACTTTTCATCTGTTCACATAACAGTACCAGCACTGGTGGCTGTGTGGTAGAGTTTCTGCCTACCACGTGGAAGATCTGCGTTCAAGTCCTAGCTGGGGTGAGTGAAGTAACAAGGAAACGTTCTTGTTGCAGTGGAAAGGGGTCAGTGTGTTTTTAAGGGACTGGACTCGATGATTTTCCAAGGTCCCTTCCAGCCCTAACATCTATGAAATCTGTGCAGAAAGTTTCTAGAAAAAGCAGTATTTATAGTATAATAAATATGGATTAGACTAAGAGGAGGGCAGCACTCTCCCACTCACAAAGTCAAGTTTAGGTGTCACTTGCAATAATTGCATGCAACAACTTCCATGTTTGGAGTGAAAGATTAGCATTAACAGCACTAAGAACTAAAGTCATCTTCACTGGGCATTCTGGACATACCGTTTGCCCTCCCCGTCGGCATCTACTCTGCCACTGCTTGAAACAAGACTATTGTGCCGTGACACTGAGCCTAGACCCACCAGGACAACTACTAGTTGAACAACAACTGATTCCTTGGGACAATAAACAACAGGAATGGGAGTGAAGGTTACAGGCTAATAACCAGGATGGCAAGGGAGGGCACCAAGCACAGAAATTTGGTTAGTGCCCACTGCCCCATGAAGGCATCTAAGGAATCAAAGGACGTTGCCCAGTGAAATTCTGCTTGAAGACTCCATGCAGGACCTGCCAACCTATGTCTCCAATGGGTCATGGGACTGAGGTGCAGTATAGGTCTCCTCACCCTCAAAAGTATCTCACCATGTTGTGTCTAGACAAGATGTGAGGGCAAGGTGGTGAATGGTATGGAGTATGAGCATATGAAGGTGATGAGGATGAACAGGTTTAATGTCCCCTAGTCTGCTCAGAGGGGGTAGCAGAGAATGCAAGGGGGGCTGCTAAGGCAGGAGTCCCACGACAAGCTCCAGAGGGCTGTGGGATGCGGCAGCCAGAGACTGCCCCCTCACCAGACCTGTTGGGCACAGGCAAGGAAGGTTGGTGGCAGGATGGCCTTGCCCTCCTGAAGCAAGCAGCTCGGAGAACGTGGCATGGGCAGCTCCCTGCTCTGGGCCACCGCAAACGAATCTGCCCATCCCTGCCTGACAAAGTCCAGGAGGTCTCCGATACAAGTAACGTGAGCCAGGATTATCTTCCAGCACACTCGGGGGACCCCTGTTACCAGCACCACCAGCTGTGATTTTTCAGCTGGGGCTCAGATGGGAGATCTCTGCATCTACAGATCTAAGAGGAGACCAGCTTCCAGAGCTGAGGAGGTGCTAGCAGAAATCTGGCAGTTTGCCGAAGTCTTGTAGGGGAAGACCTCTCAGATTAAAAAGCTGTTGCTTGTACATGAACCCTCAGAAGCAGCAAAAGGCATACCCCATCAAGCACCACACCTCTTAAAACCCTAGGAGCCTCTGCAAAGCCTTGAGAGAGGTCCTTTCGAGGGTGCTGTAGGGTGCCACACAATGCTAAGCACTGTTAAATGTACAAACATGGTTCACAAGGTAAACCCAGAGGACTCGAATAAGAATCCATAGCGTCAAAAATATTGGGGTCTTCCTCAGTTCTTTGCAACAGAAAAATTGCTCTGTTATATTTCTGTCGTCAAAAAACAGGTGAAAACTAAGAGCTGGCATTTTCCTAGGACTGCATCAAGTCTGCCAAGGGGTACCTGGAGTCTGAAAAAAGGTTGAGAATCACTGATCTGTGGTTGGACCCAGGAAATGGCAGTCCTTATGTTCTCCTGGATTTACAGTTAACACTAATTAACTTTTTCATACCACCCAAGAACTATCGTTTCAGCAGATATCACTGCAGTGTCTGACACTTGGCTCACACTCCAATGATTTTCTTCTGTTCAAAGGCCAGAAACATATATTTAAACAAAAGCTTAGATTCAAGAGCACAGCAAACAGCTGATCATGAATCCACACAACTTGACTCCCAACAAATACGTTTCTACCATCTTTTTACTAGCACATGAGATTCACCTACCAGCATGATCTACTGAAGAGGATTTTCTTTCATTCACCAAATGCAGGGTTTCCAACTGTTTAAATTATTGCCATTACAAGAGGAGTCAGCTACTGGACACTGCAAATGAGACTACTATGTTGCAACAAACAAGTGTGTAATCTCAATTCTTATACGGGCTTTCCACTTTAAAGTGTCACAACGCAAATCTCATTCTCCCAGTTTCTTGACTTGTAAACTGAGGAAAGAGAAGGAGAATGGGGGGAGAAATTAGGCAACTTTCTCAAGCTGAAAACAATTAAAAATGGTCAACCTACATAATGGCCAGCAACCAGCTGTGAGGAAATAAGGAGGAAAAGACTCTAAGGCCTCCTACAGACATTATATTTATGACAATTAACATGTACATCACATCATAAATAGTAAACCTGCCATACATTCAGGCAATTAATGGTGCAACCAAACAAGAAACTAGCCACAAAAATTGTTTCACATGGGGACATTGGCAGTCCGCATGCCAGGCTGCATCACAGCTGTCAGCCTGCTGATGCACAGAGATCCCATCAGCTGGGAGCTCCCCATGCAAGTTGATGTTGTGCTTCCCATTGCACCCTTTCAGGGACCAGCCCCAGTACTGCATTTCCTGGAGCACCCTGGCATCAGGGACAGAGTCCTCGATGGTGGGCTCCTCACCCACCTGTTGCAAGATTGGAATATGACAAATTTTATTCTGAATCCTAAAAAATCATGAGTCCTGCCATGCACATGGCATGGCAAGATGCCCGATTCTGGGGATGTGGGATAAAGTTCGCCATATCCTAATTGCACAGTACAAATCTAGGAGTACATGCCCATTCATTTAAATAAGATGAGTCTATGAAACACAGCTTTGAAAGGCCTAAGCAAGTCGCTGATGACCTCAGGGTCAAATGGGAGTCACAGCATTTTACTGAAATCAACAGGAGTTGCACACACCCACCTTCCTACATCTGAAGTAAAGTATACAAGACATCAATATGTCTGCATATTACAGCTCCTGCCATTAAGGCACTCAACAGGCAATTTAACCTCCAAATACAATATATTTACTTCATCTTACAGATAGGGAAACAAGCTAATTGTCACCTGATTTTCAGAAGTGCTGTCTAATGGTCAGCAATGAACTGAACTGCAGTCCATGGAAGCTGCAGGTGCTGAGCACCTATGAAAAACATGTCGGTGTGACCCTCTGCTGGGTGACAGAGTACAGTAGGGTACCCTCACGCTTGCACAGGTTTAACCAACCAGGGTGTATAGGCACAGAACAGCTAGACTTCTTTGGAAGGGGAAAATAAAATCCCCTCAATAGCAGACTCTCTCATCAATACACAGGATAACACAGGCAGAATACCAATGTTAGGTCTAATTAGTGATACAGCCTTGTGTCAGATTCATAAGAGTCCAGTTCATGCTTAGAGAATTCAAGTACATTTGGATTAGAAATACCAACTTATAAATACCAGAAAGTGTTCGACGCCAAGCTAATGAAGTGGTGGTCAGAAGCTGGGTTTACCCAGCTGTGCTGCACAGTCCTCCTTTCACGCTAAGATGCTGCTGTCTACCCACACACCCGGCACCAGTCCACCTATGGCATTCTCTTGCCTAGCCCTCTTCTTAACAACGTGCGGTGATGTAGGATTTCTCCGCTGGCTGTTATTTTAAGCCATCTGGCACACAAACACACAGCATGCTGCTCACGACATCCTCTTCCTTTGAGATGCTAACAAAGATTTCTCTTCTCATCAGTGCAAGGGTATTTTCTTTTCACTAGCTGAAACAGCTCCTAGACAAACGGGAAGACCTGTGTGCTAGTTCAAAAAAATATATATATATTTATTTTTTTTTTTAAATCTGTGGGCATTTTGTAATGCAAACAACACACATCCTGGGAGTCATCCACCAATCACCCCTTGCAGACACAGCTATAAAATTAAAGACGCATTGAACAGTGGCCTTTGATTCAGCCTCTCCTCCATTAAACAAGCAAGCGTTCATATCTAAACACACTACAGTTTTCAACAAGACTCCAGTGCTCTATACAATACTAATCAGACATATGCTAAAAAGCCTGCAAGGTCAACCCCATGGAAGTAAATTTCCCAATACATTTATAAAGGTTTTAAAACTACCTACTTATTCCTTTGCAGATTAGAGCCCTAAAAGAAAAGGATGAATACAAAACAACTCGGGGGGGGGGGGGGGGGCTTACCTTTCTCCAGCAGAGCCAACACTACAAAAACAGGGCAAGGTTACGTGGTGAAAGCATATTTACTGCAGTTAGGTCAAATCCAGCTGGTCTCTTCAGTCCCAACGAACAGTAAAACACTGAGCCTGACACTGAACACTTTGCTTCCGAGTACTGCTTATGAGTCCCAAGGAGGCTAGTAACAAGCACACGTCTCTCTCTATGACGACAGGCTAATTTGGATGAGATCTTAGGAAATGAATGCTGCAAAACTATTTCTGATTTGGCTGCATCCCCTGTCCCAGAGAGAGCACTGTGAACTTTTTTTTTTAACTAATGCATGATCCATATGTTTGGCAGCACAAGCAGTGGTAAGACTTTGTGCTGCTGATTACTGCAGAAGTGTAAATGCTAACTACATCTAGGACAGTGATTCTCAGCCAGGGTGCAGAAGCACCCAAGGGTGCCCCAAGATACTTTGAAGTATGCCCCAAGGTATAAGGAGATAAGCCAGCTATGAGGAGATAAAGCAGATAAGCACTGACCCAGGCTCAGTCCCTGCCTGGCCGTTCCCGCACCCGTATTGCCCAGCCCCTCTACAAGGAGGTATGCACTGTAATAAATACCGTAAGTTAATTTTTGAAATGGGGTGCTATTCAGTTCACATAAGGTATGGAGGGGTGCCTTGAATCTAAAAACGTTGAGAACCACCAGTCTAGGGTATTATTGAAGCATCCATCATCACAGCATCTACACACCATTGATTGTAATGGGAGCATTAGGGGACTGTTAAAGCTGTGCAAATATTTCCATTCTGATTGCCCATTTGCTCCTTGCTTTTCAAAAGAGTTGAACTTGTAAACTTCGTGTTCTGGCTGAAATATTTTAGACTTTTCTTCTTCTTGATTCTCCATCTGTTAATTGAGCAAAAGTGGTTTGGCTTGTTTTTCCTAGAGCTAATACAAGTGAAAACACATTTCCCCCCGTTATAAGAAAATCCTGAGACTTCTTTTGAATAGTTCTTTGGACAAAAAAGCTGGGAAATAGCACTGGCATTTGGCAGCCAAATATACCTCTGTGAGCAAAAGTAGTCACAAACTACTTCAAGATCGTTTCAGGCTGGACGTAAGGAAGAATTTCTTTACTGTCCGAGCCCCCAAGGTCTGGAACAGCCTGCCACCGGAGGTGGTTCAAGCGCCTTCATTGAACACCTTCAAGATGAAACTGGATGCTTATCTTGCTGGGATCCTATGACCCCAGCTGACTTCCTGCCCTTTGGGCGGGGGGCTGGACTCGATGATCTTCCGAGGTCCCTTCCAGCCCTGATGTCTATGAAATCTATGAAAAGTACTTTTGAGTGGGCCACTAAAAATTAGGTTTGATTTCACTGAGCTTGTCTGTATTGCGCATGCACAGCATACTACGCACACATTCCTGGCTGAACTCATGTGGCAGGCTGGACTAAGGTCCAATCCTGCAATAAGATCCATGAAGACACAACGTTGCATAGAATTCACCGCAGGATTTCATTTTCATTTGTGCAGAAGAAAATATATCTAAAGCGTTTTGGGGCTCAGACAAAGGAACTTTACAGGACACCTAGGTTGCCTGCAGGTAAGGGTCAGAAGCATTAGTTAGGCAAGGCTGCTCCAACAGGACTGACAAATCCCATCGTTCCCAAGGGTCACAGCTGTCCTCACGAAGCCAGCATGAAGGGGACAATCTGCTTCCATCTTGCCAACCAGAGCTAGAATTCACAGCCTGTCAGCTTATCTTCTCCACACCAGAAGAGGTTGAGACTTGAAGCACAAAGTTCCTTTGTGTTGCACTTTCTTTATGTTCTAATGCTTTTTTTCCTTTATTATCTGGAAAATTACATCTAAATATATTAGCAGAGTTAAGTCTTCACAGTTAGGCAGGAAACTATAGGCCAGTCAGTCTTACCTCGGTCCTGGGTAAGCTTTTTGAGAGAATTATCCTGGCGCATGTCCACGAGGGGCCGGCAGGGGAGATTATGCTTAGGGGCAATCAACACGGGTTCATTCGAGGCAGGTCCTGTCAGACCAACCTGGTGGCCTTCTATGACCAGGTCACAAAATCCTTAGACACAGCGGTAGCAGTGGATGTGGTCTTTCTGGACTTTAGGAAGGCCTTCGAAACTGTCTCTCACCCCATTCTCATTAAAAAACTAGGAGACTGTGGCGTTGACACCTACACAGTCAAATGGGTCACTAACTGGCTGGAGGGCCGCACCCAGAGAGTGGTGATGGACGGGTCATTTTCGACCTGGATGGATGTGGACAGTGGGGTCCCCCAGGGCTCGGTCCTCAGGCCTACACTGTTCAACAGCTTCAGCTACTTGGACGGGGGTTTAAAAAGCACCCTGTTCAAATTCGCAGATGACACTAAGATGTGGGAAGAAGTGGACACACTAGAAGGGAGGAATAGGCTGCAATCAGACCTAGACAGGTTACAGGGGTGGGCAGATGAGAACAGGATGGGTTTCAACACTGACAAGTGCAAGGTGCTGCACCTGGGGAGGAAGAACCAGCAGCATACCTACAGGCTGGGGAACTCCCTTCTCATCAGTGCAGAGGCAGAAAAGGATCTTGGACTCATTATTGATGCCAAAATGAACATGGGCTGACAGTGTGGGGACACGGTCACAAAGGCCAACCATATACCTTGTCATGCATGCACAGATGCATCACAAGCAGGTCCAAGGAGGTGATCCTCCCCCTCTATGCGACACTGGTCAGGCTGCAGTTGGAGTACTGTCGAGCCCCAAAAGGAGAGGGCGGGGGGGGATCTAGTGGCTGTTTACAAACTAGTCAGAGGGGACCAGCAGGCATGGGGGGAGTCCCTGTTCCCCCGAGCACTACCAGGAGTGACAAGAAATAATGGTCACAAGCTGGCAGGGGGTAGATTCAGACTAGACATCAGGAGGCGCTACTTCACAGTCAGGGTGGCTAGCATCTGGAACCAACTTCCAAGAGAAGTGGTGCTGGCTCCTACCCTGGGGGTCTTTAAGAGGAGGCTGGACGAACACCTTGCTGGGGTCGTTTGACCCCTGGTACCTTTTCCTGCCACGGCAGGGGGGCAGACTTGATGATCTGCTCAGGTCCCTTCCAACCCTACCAACTATGAAACTATGACTAACTCTCCCAAGGTAACAGCCACGTTAACCTTCCTATGCTAATCTATGAGCTACCAACTGCAACGCAGTCTGCCTCCACGGCTGAAGCTGGTCAACTGGAATCTACTGCAATTTTTTACCTTATGTAAATTATTTTTGATGTATAAAGTATTAAAAAGAAAGCTGGCAATGCATTTGCTGTGCTTTGAAACTAAAAGCAACTGTTTAGAGCTAGCATGCACAAGTGCAATTCTACTGAAGAAGCAGGTATTAGCCCAGTGGCTCTAAGCACAAAGTAAAGGATAATATGAATATTATATGCTCATAGAAAAATATATAAGCACAACCCCTCCTATAACAGCATCTTTATTTCCAACTGCCTGATCCATATCTTTTCCTAGGGCTATCTTTCTACAGGAACTTCTCTGAAAGGCATCCTGGGGGAAAAAATGGTCTTTATATTTGGAAAAGCCAAGCAATTGCAGCTCTAGGGTAACCATTTTATAACTTACTCTTTCTAAGCTGGTAAGCATTCCTAGCTCCTGTTGATTTTCTTCCCCCCCACTTCCTGGGGTGATGGAAAATTCTTACAAGTAACATGAATATATTACAGGTCTGGATATTTTAGTAATAAACATTACCTCAAAATAACTAGAACAAGCTCAAGAAACAGTTCAAACAAAGTTTTATTTGAACCTTGAAGCCAATTTGCACTTCTGGCAAGGCAGAAATACAGATCTCTCTTTGATCCCATTGATTTTACACCTCCAGCATAGAACTGAAGAGGAGACCCTTGGTATTAGCACTAGGTGGAAGAGCTGAGATGTACAACTTCCACTCTATAAACAAGAAAAAGGTTTTTTTGTGCTGAGACTGTAGGATTTGCTGAATGAAGTACTACTTGCTTTGCAGCCAGTTTTCTTCAATGGAAGACTTAAATTTCTAGAGGCAGCCATACAGCAGGCCACGTTCTCAAGACTGCCTGCCAAAACTGGTGTCAGTGTGGAGGAAACCTGGAGATTAGAGGTGCACCGATACATCGGTCCAATATCGGATCAGCACCAATATAAAGAAAATTGTCTATATCGGAAATCAGCCTGATGCAGCCGATAATTTGGCTGATAAACGGCCTGTGCGTGCACGCAGCCGCAATGCAGCACGTTGGCGGCGAGTAGCACAGCGAACAGCTTGGAGAGCTGCATGCAGCTGTTAAGTCTGGTGTGGTGGAAGGGGACAGAGGAGGGACACGGTCGGGCACAGATCAAGACTCCCACAGTGAGGAGGGTATGGGGCTGGGGCAGGCACTGTCCAGCCAGGGTGGAGGGGGGGCACAGGATGGAGCCACAGCTTGTTCGGGGGGCACAGGAAGGGGGGGGAGCTCCCGCCACAGTGCACAACTTGTCCAGCAGCTCCCACTGCTGCTCCTGCTGTTCATCCAGGAGGGAAACAGGGGGAGGGGGCGCTGGATTTGTGCAGGGCAGGCAGCTGCAGTGCTGGGAAGGGGACTATGGGGCAGCTACAGAGATTTTTGGAGTGGCTGGGGGCCCCCTCCCCCTGCCG